CTTCGTCGTCTCGTCTGATGCACTCACTCAACCAAGCGTTCTAACCACAACCTCGCCCCTCCCCACCCCCCAACCATTCGAATTTCTGTAGGCGGGAATTATTTTAATGATATTCTAATGGACCCCCTTTGTGACATCACAAACCCTGGAAACCAACGCTGTAGTTCAAACGAGCCGTTCGTTGTAGTTCTTGAAAAGGGATTTTTTAAAAACGAAATATCACCCATTGGAGTGAACTTTGAGATTTGTAACTTTGTAGATCTTTTTTTATGCCCAAACAAACACACTAACTAAAATTTAAAAAGTGAAAAAGCATAATAGGACCCCTTTAAAGCGAAAATAAATAAATTCACACATAAAAACAAAACAATAATGAATAACAGAAGGTTATGTTAAATTCCCTCACCTTGAAACTATCCTCAAAGTAGTTGTGTTCTTCAAGAAACATGGCATAGTTAATGATGATCTGAGGAGTGGCAATCCGGAGATCAATGATGCGATCATACACTGCCTTTGTGGACTGACAAAAGCAACAGTTATATTAACACACAAAACAGCAAGAACATATATACATTCCCTTAGAGAAAAGGAAACGACAAAGCAACATACCTGGAATGTGCCAAGACTCTCTTCCAAGTCTGCAAGCATGGACCACACTTTCAGGGACTTATAAACTCGATTCTGCACTGGTTCTGATGAATCAAAATACTCTGCTTTTCTTGCTGGAATTGCTGTTGCTTTCTGTGAAGAAAAAGACTGTCAACATCTGGAAAAAGTTTGATGTCATGATCTCCAATTTATATCCCTTTGGCATGAAATGCAGTAAACCATGACGCCAAGCAAACTTTGAAACAGGTCTTAAGATATTCCCAAAAATAAAAACTGTATAGACATAAAAAAAAATGAAAATGACAAAAAAAATAATAATAATAATTACCAAAGCTATATAAATATTAAATAAGTAAAATACAAAAATATTAATAAAAACTATAATATTACCTCAATTACACTGCGCTTCACTAAAGCACTAGTGGTAATGTATAGTAGTTTCCTGTCTCTTACCCTTAGTATACGCAAAGCTTGGTCATAATTCTCATGTCTCAGCTCCATCTCTCCATATTCACACCACACTGCAGCAAGATCATCCACCTGTTTGTAGTTCACCTTTGTGGCCTTCTCAAAGATAGTCCGAGCCTTGAAGTTCAAGCGAAATAGTTAACCATCAGTTTACAATAATGTACCAACAAATTATCTACAAAGTTGCAAGTATACAGGAAGTGGCGTACATCATCCAGCTGTTCATTATCCTCATAGAATCTGGCGAAGGACACCCAGAGAGAGTGAGGTTTTCCTGTGGCTTTCAAAGGATCTATCGTTTGCACAGCTTCTGTGTATGTGTTGATAATCTACAGGAAAAAGCAGAATAAGATGTGTAAATCACACACAGCAGTTATGTTGAGACAAATATCAACCGATTTAAAGATGTAAATGATGTTTCCAACCTGTCGAGGTTGGCCCTCATAGAGTTTGACTCTCTTGTGCCACTCGTGAACGTTGTGAGGGTTCTGACGCAGCAGCACACTGTTCAGTAAAAGTGGCCGTCGAGTTATCAGCAACTCAAAACGGGCCAATCGTAACTCCAAGTCAATGTCACCTAGAGTGGGGAAATCAGGATTTCTGTAAAACCAACATCAAGGATTATTTGCTACAATGTCTTCCAAGGAAAAATCTCTCACCATCTTCATCTTGTCCCAGTTCAGACGTGGTCTCCATCTTGGCAGCGATCATGCTCTCCTCAAACTGCGCATAACTGTCAAAAACCTGGGTGAAGTCTCGCACAGTGACTACGGTTAGGATGGCTTCCTCATATACATCTCGAGCCTTGAAAAAGCAGGATAATGGTAATAGTGTCAATTTATGCATGAGCGGGGTTAGTTTATCCAAAGCAGTCTTAGATTTTGTATACTTGCAGTTTCACCTTCTCAAAGTGTCCACTGCGGATGTAGTAATCAGCCAGAGAACACCAGAGTTTGCCAAGCTGGTCAGTAAAGCGAGTGAGGCCTCCTCGGATAATCGCTCCCACTTTCAGTGAGGTCACCTTGTCCGGGTTTTGTGAGATGAGGTCACAGAGCTCGTGCCAGAGCTGTAATTGAATTTTACAAGAAAAAATATGTACATTTTGCATGGTATGTATATAATTCACAATACTAAATTAATGCTTATATGGAGATACAGGATGAGATGGACATTAGAGGCATAAAGCCACTTTCAAGGTCTTAAAATGACAAATCATTGAATTGATTAGGAACTTTAGCAATTATAATTCCTATAATAATGACTAGTGTATTAGATACTCATTTTTTCTAATCCAAAATACAATTATTGACCTTTTTTAAGCCACCAAATCCAGATCTGCAACCTACATTTTTGTCTTCAGCATGATAACCCAATAAAATGGTGACCAATTTCAGACTGCATCATTTTCGTTACGCATCATTTAGTAAAGAACCATAATCAAGATAAATCTTTGTCAAAGCAAATACACTACTGTTCAAAGGTTTAGGGTACGTAAGATTTCAGTTTTAGGGGTGAGGGGTCAGTAAGAGGTAATGTTTTTTTTTTTTAAGAAATCAATACTTATATTTAGCAAAGATGCATTAAACTCATAAAAATTGACAGTGAAGCCAAAGTTACAAAGGATTTTTATTTCATACAAACGCTGTTCTTTTGAACTTTGTTCACCAAAGAATCCTGAAAAAAAAGGTATCACGGTTTCCACAAAAACATTAAGCAGAACTGTGTTCAACGTTGATAATAACAGAAATGTTTCTTGAGCCCAAAATCAGTATATTAGAATGATTTCTGAAGGATTATGTGACATTGAAGACTGGAGTAATGACTGCTTTACCATCACAGGAATAAATTACATTTTAAAATATATTTATATAGAAAA